GTGTACTAAAACTCTGTAACAGGTCTTTGAATGTGTGTCTAGAATATATAGATAATAGTGACCACCGAGCAAGGCCCTTAGGGGCCGAAACGCGTTTGGTCTTCAGTTGTAAAGTATTTACCCATCATATGTATGTATAGAGGATAAGCTTTTATAGTCTGATCTTAGACAAAGTAATTTTTAATCAGGAAAGTTTTAACACGTGTACACCTTAATAAATATTTGTACTTATATATATATATGGTTTAGTTTAGCCCTTTTTGGTTCGTAGTCATATCCTGGGTTGAGTTCCCCCCCCCCTTTCCCCCCAGTTTTTGACAAACTTGACACAATAAGAACATAAGAGATGCCAGTGTTGGATCAGGCCAAAGGCCCATCCAGTCCAACACTCTGTATCACACAGTGGCCAGAAATACCAGGGGCCATCAGGAGGTCCAGCAGTGGGGCCAGGACATTAGAAGCCCTCCCACTGTTGACACAGACTTGACACACAAAACTGACACAAATGGTGACACAAACTTGACAAGAATGTGGAACTTGCTGCCATAGTGATGGCCACAGAAATAAGCAGCATTAAAGGGGGATTAGATAAGATTTGTGGAGGATAAGTCTATCAATGGCTACGAGCCATGGCTGAGACTCAAGGGAACCTCCACATTCAGAGAAAGTCAACCTCTGAATCCCAAAGCCAGGAGGCAACACTGTTGCTGGCCCTTCGGAGGAACTGGCTGGCCCCTGTGTGAGACTCGATGGACCACTGGTCTGATCCGGCAGGGCTCTTGTGAGGGAAGGAGAGAGAGAGATTGGGTTTATACCCCATGGCCCTTCACTACCCAAAGGAGTCTCAGAGCGGCTCACAAACTCCTTTCCCTTCCCCTCCCCACAACAGACACCCTGTGAGGTAAAAGAAGAAGAAGAGATTGGGTTTATACCCCATGGCCCTTCACTACCCAAAGGAGTCTCAGAGCGGCTTACAATCTCCTTTCCCTTCCCCTCCCCACAACAGACACCCTGTGAGGAAGGTGGGGCTGGGAGAGCTCTCTTGAAGACTGCTCTTTAGAGAAGGAGATTGGATTTATACCCCGCCCTTCACTACCCAAAGGAGTCTCAGAGTGGCTCACAAACTCCTTTCCCTCCCCTCCCCACAACAGACACCGTGTGAAGTCAGTGAGGCTGAGAGAGCTCTCTCTCGAGGACTGCTCACGAGAGAACAGCTCTGAGAGAACTTGTGACTGACCCAGGGTCGCACCAGCAGCTGCATGTGGAGGAGTGGGGAATCAAACACAGTTCCCCCAGATTAGAGACCGTGCTCTTAACCACTACACCAAACTGGTTCTTAAACCATACTTTGGATTGGGGTGTCCCCAATCTTCTTAAGCCTGGGAGCGCCTTTGGAGTTCCGACACGGGGCGGAGAGGACACTACTACAAAATGGCTGCTACGGGAGGCAGCAACCACCAAAAAACGGCTGCCACAAGATGTCAGGGAGTGAGGTTAATAGCAGCTTTTCATGTCTCCAGGCAGACGCTCTCCTTGGAAGGATGCCTTCTGAAACATACTGTTTTCAGTGAAATTGTGGTGGCAGCTGCTACCAAAGCGACATTGCTTTTTTAAAAATCTGTGCAGGGAATCAGATCACCAATGGCCAATCAAAAGCCAAACAGATCGCCAATGGCCAATCAAAGCCAAGCAAAAGGAAAAGTCCCACCCTTTTTCTAAAAATACACGGTGGGCACGCGCAAAGGTGTTAGCAGGCACCATTAGAGTTGCCAGCACGGATCGATGCACTGGCGGGGAGGGACTTTCTGGGACTGGGGGTGGAGCGCCACCTAATGATGCCACACGGAAGTGACATCATCACATCGGCGACACTCTGGCTTTGGAGCAAAACTCTATGGTAAGATCAGCCTCAAACCACAGAGTTTTGCCCCAAAACGAGTGGCGCTGTGCCGACTTGATATTACTTCCACGTGATGTCAATACGTAGCGTTTGAGGGCGGGATTTCCCCCGCCGGCCAGCTGGCCAGTGGAGGGGAGGAGCCCAAAAAATCGGGGGATCCCCGCCCCAAACTGGGGAATGGCAACCTTACCGAAGGTTTGGACACCTTACTGACAACGCTCCCTCCAAGCTGTGGAGTCTTGTGAGCAAAAAATTTCTACTTTGTGAGCTGCTGGCTTTAGAGTTGTGAGCGAGCGATTGGGCTGCTGCGGAAATCAGTTTGCTCCGGAGCCCTCCTTCCTGAGCAGAGACAAAAATGTCTGAGCCAGAGGCTAAAAAAACTGTGAGCTGGCTCACCCTAACTCAGCTTAGGGGGAATACTGCTTACTGAAGGTTGCCTTCCAGAATTGTAACAGCCGACTGAACGGCTTGGAAAAAGAAGAAGATTGGATTTATACCCCGCCCTTCACTACCCGAAGGAGTCTCAGAGCGGCTGACAAACTCCTTTCCCTTCCCCTCCCCACAACAGACACCCTGTGAGGCAGGTGGGGCTGAGAGAGCTCTGGCAGAAACTGCTCTTTTCCAAGAACAGCTCTTATCAGAACTATGGCTTGCCCAAGGTCATCCAGCAGGTGTAAGTGGAGGAGTGGGGAATCAAACCCGGTTCTCCCATATTAGAGTACGCGCACTTCACCACCACACCATGCTGGGGGGCGATGAACTGTATGAAGAAGAGGAGGAGGAGGAGGAGATTGGATTCATACCCCACCCTTCACTACCCAAAGGAGTCTCAGAACGGCTTACAAACTCCTTTCCGGCACCCTGTGAGGCGGGTGGGGCTGAGAGAGCTCTCTTGAGAACTGCTCTTGAGAGAAGAAGAGATTGGATTGATACCCCATGGCCCTCACTACCCAAGGGAGTCTCAGAGCGGCTTACAAACTCCTTTCCCTTCCCCTCCCCACAACAGACACCCTGTGAGGTGGGTGGGGCTGAGAGAGCTCTTGACAGAAACGGCTCTTTTTCAAGGACAGCTCTTATCAGAACTACGGCTTGCCCAAGGTCATCCAGCAGGTGCAAGTGGAGGAGTGGGGAATCAAACCCGGTGGCCATCAGCAGAGGTCATTCAGGTAGCGCCCTTTGTAAAGAACCGATCCAGCATTCCGGCAGGGGAAATAAAACCTCTTCCAGCTCAAGCCGGAGAATCTTCCTCACCACTAAAACCAAGATGACCTGCTTATCCTATGAGTAGCTTGGGAAGGATCTTGCTGAGAAGGAAAGATAATTATTACAGGCAAGGCAGAGAGGTCAACGCATAGCTGTGGGAGCAGGGGGGGGGTCAGGTGGCTCAGGGCTCGAACAGTGTCGCACAGTGGTTAGAGCATCGTACAAGCCAGAGTGGTGCAGTGAGGAGGAGGAAGAAGAGATTGGATTTCACTACCCAGGGGAGTCTCAGAGCGGCTGACAATCTCCTCTCCCTTCCCCTCCCCACAACAGACACCCTGTGAGGCAGGTGGGGCTGAGAGGGCTCTTTGGAGGACTGCTCATGAGAGAACAGCGCTGAGAGAACTTGTGACTGACCCAATGTCACACCAGCCGCCGCATGTGGAGCAGTGGGGAATCAAACCTGGTTTTCTCAGATTAGAGCACACTCCTAACCTCTACACCAAACTGACTCTCAGGTGCTGTGAAAGACCCCTGCCTGAGACCCTGGAGAGCCACTGTAAGTCTGAGCGGGCCACACGGAGTTTGATGGACCAAGCATCCGAATCAGTAGGAGGCAGCTTCATGTGTACTCACTCATGGTTCTCTCTTTGGGAAGGGCCGTGGCTCAGTGGCAGAGCCTCTGCTTGGCATGCAGAAGGTCCGAGGTTCAATCCCTGGCATCTCCAGTTGAAAGGGACCAGGCAGGAGGTGATGGGAAAGACCTCTGCCTCAGACCCTGGAGAGCTGTAAAGAGGGGCCGTGGCTCAGTGGCAGAGCCTCTGCTTGGCATGCAGAAGGTCCGAGGTTCAATCCCTGGCATCTCCAGTTGAAAGGGACCAGGCAGGAGGTGATGGGAAAGACCTCTGCCTCAGACCCTGGAGAGCTGTAAAGAGGGGCCGTGGCTCAGTGGCAGAGCCTCTGCTTGGCATGCAGAAGGTCCGAGGTTCAATCCCTGGCATCTCCAGTTGAAAGGGACCAGGCAGGAGGTGATGGGAAAGACCTCTGCCTCAGACCCTGGAGAGCTGTAAAGAGGGGCCGTGGCTCAGTGGCAGAGCCTCTGCTTGGCATGCAGAAGGTCCGAGGTTCAATCCCTGGCATCTCCAGTTGAAAGGGACCAGGCAGGAGGTGATGGGAAAGACCTCTGCCTCAGACCCTGGAGAGCTGTAAAGAGGGGCCGTGGCTCAGTGGCAGAGCCTCTGCTTGGCATGCAGAAGGTCCGAGGTTCAATCCCTGGCATCTCCAGTTGAAAGGGACCAGGCAGGAGGTGATGGGAAAGACCTCTGCCTCAGACCCTGGAGAGCTGTAAAGAGGGGCTGTGTGGCTCAGTGGTCGGTCCCAGGATCAGTCCCTGGCATCTCTAGTTCAAATGATAAGGTAATAGGTCTGCGACCCTGGAGAGCGGCTCCCAGTCTGAGTAGACAACACTGACCATGAGGAACCAATTCAGTCTGATTCAGTATCAGGCAGATTCATAGAGCTGGAGACGCCATTCTGCTAAATGGGGGTGCTTTGCAGCCTATGCAGCACTGGGGTCGCAGCCCCTCTGCTCTATGCACACAGATCGCAATCTCCCCACCCCCCACCCCGGCCAGGCATGCCAGAGCAGGGCAGCCCAGAGCCCAGTCGAACGATGAGTCGCGCCCTCAGCAAGGGCACCGGATTGCAACGGCTGAACCGACCTCTTGTCTGAGCAGGTGAGCGTTTAACCCCGATTAGCAGGGTTTACAGCCCCACCGGTTTCTATACTTGGACGGCCACCCGTGATTAAGCACCTGCTCCTGGCAGAGGGCAAAATGTGTGTGAACCAGGGGAGAGAATGTTTCCTAAATGCACTATCTAGAGAAGGGCACCCCACCCCACTCCCCAACTCATGCACACGAGAGAGGGGGACAGATAGACAGATAGATAGATTGAGAGAGATAGACAGAGACAAGGGGGGACCCGCGATACTCGCGGGGGGGTGGGTGGAGGGAGGCAGAGGAGGAAGCAGCAGGAGGAGGTAAACATCCCCCCGAAATTTTTTTTAACTTTTTTTATTTTTGTGCACACGTGGGGATAGAGAGACAGAGATAGATAGAAAGAGATAGATAGACAGAAAGAGATAGATAGAAATAGATAGATGGATAGATAGATAGATAGATAGATAGATAGATAGAAATAGATAGATAGATAGAAATAGATAGATAGATAGAAATAGATAGATAGATAGATAGATGGATAGGGTAGTGAAGGGCGGGGTATAAATCCAATCTCTTCTTCTTCTTCTCTCCCCCCAGGGGACCGGTTTGACTTATCCCAGCAAAACCCCCTCCCAATAGACACACCCCTGCAAAGGAGAGCAGTTTCCCAACTGCTGAAGCTGCAAGCAAATGCCCCAACAGAGAATGCCAGAAAAACACCCCTTTAAAGTCCCCCTCCCTTTGCATCTCCATCCAAGCCCACCCTGGGGGGGGGGGAGGAAACCCCATGCACAAGACTCCCCCTCCAAACCCACAGCAGGGCTGAGTGAGTTTAAAGCCCGCCCCACCCACCAGCCACTCCGGTCCAAAGTCCCCCCAGAAAGGAGGAGACACGCGCCTCTTTCTCAAACCCCAATGCAGCAGCCTTCCACCCCGCGCTCTGGAAACAAGGGACAAAGACCCCTCCCCTGGAACTTGGCATGCGACCCCCAGAAGGCAAGACCCTCCCCCCAAAAAATCTAAGAACAAAACATCCCCCCCCCAACACACACACACACACCACAAGCGCTGCTTCGCACTCACTCTTCTCTTTGGCCCGGGGCAAAAGGGAGGAGTGAGCAAAATTCTCCCCTGTTCCTCGATGTCCCCCCCCCTTGCAGAAAGTGCACCCCCTCCCCAAAATCCTTTTTTCCTGTGCACAATCTACAGCACTAGGTCCGCCTAAAGCCAGGGGGGAGGTATCAAGGGACACCCCCCCTCCCAAAATGCTTCCAGAGAGGGAGGGGGGCATGGCCCTCGCGTCCGCTGGGGGCTGGGGGAGGCGCGCATGCGCACAGACTCACCTGGGTCCCGGGAGAGGGGCTACAGCCAAGCGCACCCCATGCTGCTCCGGAGGAGAGGCTGGAGCGCGGGGACTGCGCGTGCGCGCCCTGCCCGCGGTCTCCCCTGCCCCGCCCCCTCCGCTCGGCTCGCTGGGGGAGTGAGTGGCGGAGCGGGCGCCCCCTGGCGGGGAGAGGCGAGACTACAAGCACATGCCCGTGCTTTTATTGCCTGTTTTATGTATTGGGATTTTTCCCCGTCCGGGTGCATCTTTTTGCATAATGGCACGCTGGCTTTGCTGTAGAGGATTTTATATCGGGGTGGGGGGTGGGGGGGAGCGAGTCTCCGCTCACTTCTTCAGATAGAGCCAGATGGGTTGCCACTAGAGATGTAAAATTTCCGGAAATTTTGAAGCTAGGGGGAAAAAAACCTTTTTTTCCGGGGGAAACGGAAATTTTTGGAAAAATTGGGAAAAACGCTACATTAGCACTTCTTTTTTTCTTTTCCAGATTGAAAGTCCTTCTGTTACTTTAGGAACATTTATTTGTTTGTTTATTTATCAGATTTATACCCCGCCCTCCTCGCAAAGCAGGGGACATATGAGGATGGACGTTTTTTCTTGGCATGAAATGATCACAACTAGCCTATTAAAAACATAGTGCATCCAAACAATTCTTACAAGCAGAATACCCGCCCACATGCAAAAACAAAACGGAAACCTTTTTCTTTTCTCGTGACAACAGCACCTCCTAAAGGAAGAAATGCATCTCGTTCTTGCATTGGAGAGTTCAGTTGGTAACCCAGGACTTGCTTGTCCTCATTGCACAGAAAGTAGATCAATCTGATACCATACCTATTTTTCAGAAATGATTTGGAAAATATTTGAAAACCTTGTCTTAAAATATTTTATTTATCATGTTAAAATAAAACGTTCCATAATCAATTTCTTTTCTGTTTTCAATTTTTTGGAAAAAAACAAAAAAGGCTTCAGGGAAAAAACTGGGAAAACCCGTTTCCCCCCCTAATTTTTCCGGGTTTTTTCCCGGGCCTTCACATCTCTAGTTGCCACCAGTTTTCCCTCTAAGCTATGGAGTCTTGTGAGCGAAAATTTTATTCTGGGTTTAAGAGACGATCTGTACCTGAAGGAGTGGGCCTGTGCACAGGAAATCTTATACCTTGAATAAAAACTTGGTTGGGTCCTAAAGGTACCCCTGGGCTCAGACCTTGTTCTGTTGTTTCAGACCAACACGGCCACTCACCTGAATCTATCTTCATTGAGAAACGGACACTCTCTCTGTTAAATAGTGGGCTCCATGGATGAGCAGACCCAGGGGCAGATTCAGGCTCACTAGTGCCCTAAACACTGACCAATCTCGGTGCCCCCCCTCCTTTCCACACTGACCCCCAGTCCATTTTAGTTGTCGACCTGTCTGACCAGATATGCCATGCAGGTTGCAGCCATACAAAAATTTATTCCTAGGATTACACAATAGACAGTACAAACTAAGGCAAGCTTGGGCTACATAAAGTTCTACAAAAACGCAATACAACATCTATTTTAATATTTCACAAGTTAAATGTGTCAATGTTACTGTGATGTATTGGAATGCATGTAAACATCTTATGTGAAACAGCTCATAGGAATGGTATGTTAAGCTTCGTCCTGGACTAGGATCCAAAGATATCCAATCTGGTACTAGTCCAGGAACTTACAAGCCAATCACTTTACAGCAAGCGCCTGAGAGGGAACGACCGTGATTGGTCCTTATGTCTTCAACCTTATTGGTTGTTATGTGTACAGTGGGCGTGGCTATATTAGCCGGGAAAGTTTAAAAGCAAGGCTCCTGCCATGTAAAAGCTGAACCGTTCTGTTCTGGCTATCTGACCTTGATCTGTGTTGGAGTTGTGTTCGAGTTGAAGAATAAAGTTGTGTTCTTGCTGAATCACTCTCCGACTGCTTTGTTAAGCGAGCGACTTAACAGTTACAATATTCATGACCCGAAAGGCATTACATTTCATTTTCGCAAAATCACTGATAACATCCTCGAAATTAATACCTTCAGCATGGGGCTGAACTAGAGTAAAAGGGGACAGGGAGGGTAATTGAAATGACTGTCATGACAACTGAATTTGGCTCCATCGTTTTACTTTTAAACACATGCATTTTACTTTTAAACATAGCCTATGACACTGCACCTTGCCAACAAAAAAATCGAAGATCACCCTAGGGTGCACCATGATCAATGTGCACTAGTTTTATCAATTTTATCAAAAAAATTTTGCTAATCTTCATTTGTGTGGGGTTTTTTTCCACCCTTTCCAGGGCTTTTTTGTAGAAAAAGCCCAGCAGGAACTCATTAGCATAATAGGTTACACCCAACAGCAGAAACTCATTAGCATATTAGGCCCCACCCTGACAGCACAGCTCATTAGCATATTAGACCGCAACCCCATGTTACCAGAAGTGTGGTCATCCAGCCACACCCACCTTTTGCTTCTTATTCTGTTTACCTTGTTTGTTGTCAAGACCCAGGGCTTTTTTTGTAGCAGGAGCTCCTTTGCATGTTAGGCCACACACCCCTAATGTAGCCAATTCTAATGAGTTTCTGCTGTTGGGTGTGGTCTATTATGCTAATGAGTTCTTGCTGGGCGTGGCCACCTAGGGAGCCAGCCGGAATTCCGTTCCTGTGCGTTCCTGCCCAAAAATAGCCCTGACCCTTTCCCCAACGTTGTGGTGCCCCCTTTGGCCCTGGTGCCCTAAGCACGTGCTTAGTCTGCTTAATGGTTAATCCGGCCATGAGCAGACCACAAGCCTAGAGATCAATTCTACTTTATTGATGATTTCAGCAAGCACAAGACAAGACCCCAGAGCCTCAGCTCTGTGAAGTGGCATGCAATTGTCACACCCAAACACACCCCACTCCCAGTGGTAGGCTATTGACATAACATTACTAGACTGGTTACTTCCAGAGTCCTGGCAGGCTACTGTTCTTGTGCTCCAAGCTCAGCCAGCCTCTGGGGTGATTCAATCAGGAATAATTCAGTCCCAGTACATAACACTCTCTCCCCCCACCACCAATGCTCCCTCTAAACTGTGGAGTCTTGTGAGCAAAGATTCCACTCGGTGAGCTCCTGGCATTAAAGTTGTGAGCAAGCGATTTGGCCACTGCATAACTTAGTTTGCTCTGGAGTAATGTTCCCTCTAAACTGTGGAGTCTTGTGAGCAAAAGTTCTACTTTGTGAACTACTGGCATTAAAGTTGTGAGCAAGCGATTTGGCCACTGCATAACTTAGTTTGCTCTGGAGCCATCCCTTCCTGAGCTAAGACAAAAATGTGTGAGCCGGAGGCTAAAAAACTGTGAGCTGGCTCACACTAACTCAGCTTAGAGGGAACACTGCCCACCACCACCTTTCCCGCCCCCCAAAGGGACCCAAAGTGTCTCACACCCTTCGCCTCTCCTCCATTTTATCGTTGCCACCAAAAAAACCCTTTACTCAGGTTTGCTGACAATGTACATTTAAACAGCTGCTTGGCGCTTGTTTTTCCCCCGAGGAGGTTCTGCCGACTTTTATCATTGGGAATTTGTGAGCCAGTTTGGGGAATTGGAGCCTGGGAGGAAGAGCTTGAGAGGAGGAGAGGGAAACCTTTCCAGGGAATCAACGTGGAACTAGGAGCGGGCATCACCTTCCAGGTCTCTGCATCTTCTGCAGCTGGCTTCGCCTTTCCCGGATGGTCATGCACAGGGGTCATTTCGCAGAAAGAGAGGTGCAGGAGCTCATTAGCATAACTCATTAGCATAAATTATTTGCATATGCCACACCCCCTGACATCACCGGAAGTGTGTCAGAAGGCAACACCCACCGCTCAGGCGCCACTGGACTGTTTTGGATTGCTAGCTACTGGGGGGGGAGAACATGCAGATCTGCCCTAGCAGAGGAGGGAGAGCTTGTGCCTGAATGAAACTTGGTCTTAAAGGTGCCACTGGAGTCTTTTGGATTGCTAGCTATGGGGGGGGGGACATGCAGATCTGTCCTCGCA